GTAGTATTATCTTAACACTTTAATAATTTATGCTTATTACAATTACATCTGACCATGGACAAGTAGTATTATCTTAACACTTTAATAATTTATGCTTATTACAACTAAATCTGACCATGGACAAGTAGTATTATCTTAACACTTTAATAATTTATGCTTATTACAACTAAATCTGACCATGGACAAGTAGTATTATCTTAACACTTTAATAATTTATGCTTATTACAACTAAATCTAACCATGGACAAGTAGTATTATCTTAATACTTTAATAATTTATGCTTATTGCAACTAAATCTGACCATGGACAAGTGGTATTATCTTAATAATTTATTTTTTATGTAAGTTAGCTATGTGCAATCAGTGTTTTAAAAAACATTTAACTTAAAATACGGTGCAAGAATTGATCAGTGATGTGTTTGTAAAATGTATGAGAACTTTGCCGAATGACATTACAATTACACAAAACAATTGAAAACATCCATGCTTTGAAAATCTAATCAGCAGTATGTTGATAAGTAATGAACAAAGGTTATTTTACAAATATTTAAAATAATGTCTAATACATAGAAATAATAATAATGTTTAATATAATGATCAGATTTAAACAGTAGAAATGTTTGTATTTTTTTAAGCAATTAAAACTGCAACATTTCAGCCCATAGGAAAAGACAATCTTTGGCAATATATGATTAACAACAATTACAAATTCATAGTGTTATCCTTATTTATTGGCAGTGCACATGTTGAATTCTAAATAATTAATACTAGTGGTTATAATTATTCAGAAAAAATACAAAGCAAAAATAAAATAATTACTTCTAGATTTTGTCTGCAGTTTCTCAACAAACCATATGCACTAAACTACACATTATATTGTTACGCCTCCGTTCATTAGTTAATTTTCCGTATAATTTCTTTTCAAAGAAACTTTAGCGATACAAGTCCTTTCTTAAATGAAACTGGTTTATTCTTTCTAAATACAACTTTGCAATACACTTAATTTCCACAGTCACGCTATAACAAACGCTATAATTCACAACGAACGTCTCACGTGCACGACTCAACAATACTCTCTCTCTGTCCGCAGTTCAATTACTCATTACATTGTTGCCGTCGCTTCTTGGCTGGTCTTATATATACAAGACTACCGCATATCCAGTAGTCTCCCGAGACTTCAGGAAGGGACAG